TCGTATTGTAGATAGTCTTAATGACCCTCGTGTAGTAGATAGTCTTTTTAGTATGATAATAAGATGTTATCTTCATTATAGAATAATAAGAAAATATTATAACCTTTATATTATAATAATAAGGTAAAAGGACCCCAATGGAAATAAGTCACTCTGTCTGACTTTTTTGGGTTATCCCAGGTTCTCTACACATATGCTGATATGTATGATAATTCTATGTAACTGTATTTGTGTATACCTGAATAAACTGGCTTACTTACTTAGCGAGTCGTAAAACTCCAGGCCAGTGCATAAGTCAATAGGTCAGCTGGCTACAATAAGATTCATCCAATTAGGTATATTTATACAACGTAGGGAGGTTAGCATGGACCACCACTGTGACGAGATATGCATTTGCATTTGTGGTCACATTGGGACCTGTGCTAACCTCTCTATGGTATATAAATATACCTTGGATGAATCTTATTGTTGTCAGCTGGCCTAGTGACTTACGCACTGGCCTGGAATTTTACTATTCACTCGCCATGGGTTCTAATCCCACCAGTACTGTGGTTAGGAAAGGCACTGTAATGAATCAAGGAATAATTAACAGGAAGGAAATAAGAATTGGCTGTACGAGAAGAGATGTCGGAATGGGAACGTGTGATAAGTGGAGTTCCACAAGAACCAGTACTATACGTGTATAAAATAATGGAAGGTATAGAATCATGATGTGAAAGTAATGAAAAGAATATCAACTGACTACTGGAATTTAACCCCAGCAAATGCAGAGGAATGAAGGTTGAGGAAGGGAAAATAAAACCGCAGATGGGATAAAAGCTCAAGGAAAAAAAAAAAAGCTGTAAACCTCACTCTAGTAGGACACTGGGGTGAGCACTGCACTGAGCATATCGCCAGAGGCGCACATTAATGAAATAGCTGATGCAGCAAAGACGCATCTGGCAAATATAAGATCATCTTTCCGGAGTTCAAGCATGGAGTCATTCACGACACTGTGTACGGCATATTCTAAGATCATACTAGAGTATGCACCACCAGTATGGAACCAACTACTTGTGAAGCATGTCAAGAAAATGAATTGCTGAGGCTTGCATCAAGACTAGTCCCGGAGCTGAAGGAAATGTGAAAACTCAAATGAGTCACATGGATGTTAGGCAGTGGAATGACCTGCATAGTGGAGTGGATGATACAGGATCCATACATAGATTTAAAAAGAGGTACGATATAGCTATCGAAGTCAGAACATGGTAGCGGTCAGCGAAGAAGCGGGACCAGGAGCTGAGACTCAACTTCTGTAACTACATACAGCTGAGTCCATACATTTACACATAACATACACATGCACACATACATATACACGCGCACATACATGCATACATATATACATATATATCAGCCAACAGAAAGCTAAAATGCGTAAATTCTGAGCTTGGCGGTGATTGTAAATACTGAATGTCTGGAAAAACGAATGGCAGGTTCAAGTTTGACTATTTAAAAAAACACCCGTAATGTCCTGACCAAAGACCAGTGATATTCCACCTCCTAAAATGTTTATACAACGGTTCACGACAAGCTATGCTACAGTAAACCGCCATACATATAATGGTGATCCCACCATTTAGAACACCAAAAAATTTTAGTCTCTAGAATCAGGGAAAAAATGACAAGGAAATGACAACCCTGATACTAATGTCAACAAAAGAATAACTCCCCTGAATAAATAAATAATATGACCTCTTTTATTTTTCTCGAATATACAGAGATCCTTAAGCCATCAATCAACAACAAAATATTGATATTTGAGTAAAATTTGCTCACAGACTGGCGATAAAACAGACAAGGATAACTTAGCCTCTCTGTCAAATCGTAGCTTATTTGTACAGTCAATTAATATCACAAATTATATAGTTAAAATCTTGCTAGTCAGAACTGTAATTTAGAACCTAGTTACTGCACTAGTACGTAAACCATGAGATGCAGCTTCTCCACAGTTAAAAGACCAGCTATGGAAAATCGAACACAAGAAAATCTTTCGGCTCTTACCCTATATATCTCGAGGCTTGTCTTTTTTTACTCAGTTTAAGACATTAAAGATGGAAGATTGCAGCAAAACCTGTAATAGCAGACAGTCCCAGGAGCCAGCTCGGTTGACAAGTCTCACCTGAATGTACTAGTCAAACTCTGGCCTAAATTTGCCATACATCACAAACAGTGATGCAAACAATACTAGAAAATTGTATTAATTTTTTACCCACGAGGAGCTGGTACGAAATATAACGGTATCAAGGTATCCATTAAATAAATAAATAAATAATAAATAAATATATATATACATATATATATATATATATATATATATATATATATATATAATATATATATATATATATATATATATATATATATATAACCACTGTGAAAAAAAATAGTGAAATTCTAATCGCTTTCGTGATTTCTCTTGATAATGTGAGAAATCATGAAAACGCTTAGAATTTCACCATTTTTTCACAGTGGTTATTCTGCATATTGAGATATCACACATCAACATACTCACCTATGCACTCTCACACATATACTTATAAACACACTTAACATATGTAAGTGCACAAACATACATGTTTGCATAAATATGCACATGCACACATCTGCACAAACATATGTGCACATATACACATACGTGCAATAAGATCACAGTAAACAGGTGATTTCAAAATATGCAAAACAACCACTCTGAAAGAATAGAGAAATTCCAAGCGCTTTCGTGACTACTCACATAATGTGAGTAGTCACGAAAGCGCTTGGAATTTCTCTATTCTTTCAGAGTGGTTGTTTTTGCACACATACACCTATTTATACATATATACATGCACACGTTCATATACATACATATATCCATAAATATACATTTGCACACGCATATATATAATATTTTTACATAAGAATATACAAAAATACATACATATATGTATTTGTGTACATAAATTCTCACATATACATATAAATACTGTACACACATATTTTTTATGTATGCTCTGGAATTTTTGACCACCCTCCACTACTCCTTTTCCATTCCATGCATTGAGGAACAAGAGGTTGGGTTTAAGGAATACAGAAATACGATCCTCAGATCGCGCAGCGAGCGATATATATATATATATATATATATATATATATATATTATATATATATATATATATATATATTATATATATATATATATATATATATATATATACATTTAAATTTTTGGTATTATTTTTTTTTCATTCACTAGGCAATTTTAGGCCCACTTTTTCAGTCGTGTGTATCCAAGTCTTCGCTATGCAGTATCAGTGTATTAAGAGTGTTGAGTGTATATTGGCCCCGCCTGAGCTTGTGGCAGTAAACAGACTACAACCTTGAGGCGCCGAAGGTAAAGGGGAAAACTTTGATGAGGAAAGAACTTCAGCCACCCCGAGGAATATACTAGCACGCACGCACACACACCGTGTGGACGTAAATACGCGTTCACAAACACACGTACACACACACATACACTCAGATAAATACTCTCACACACATACACTTTTTGCGCAGACCGACACTTGGTGCGATAGAAAGTTTTCTCTGAAAAAGTAAGTTTTCTTCATGGCTGTAGACAGCACACGCTGTTTAGACTCACGCTGCTGTGGTCTGAACATAAGTCAAGACGTTGTTTACTACAAACACACGTTTTAAGACGATGTTGTCTCCTAAACAATTGATTTTAGATGCTGCTGTGCTCTAAACAGATGTTTTAATACACTGCTGTGCTCTAAACAGATGTTTTAATACACTGCTGTGTTCTGAACATATGTTTTAATACACTGCTGTGCTCTAAACATATGTTTTAATACACTGCTGTGCTCTAAACAGATGTTTTAATACACTGCTGTGCACTGAACAGATGTTTTAATACACTTCTGTGCTCTAAACAGATGTTTTAATACACTGCTGTGTTCTGAACAGATGTTTTAATACACTGCTGTGCTCTGAACAGATGTTTTAATACACTTCTGTGCTCTAAACAGATGTTTTAATACACTGCTGTGTTCTGAACAGATGTTTTAATACACTGCTGTGCTTGAACATGTTTTAATACACTGCTGTGCTCTGAACAGATGTTTTAATACACTGCTGTGCTCTGAACAGATGTTTTAATACACTGCTGTGCTCTGAACAGATGTTTTAATACACTGCTGTGCTCTGGAAATATTTTTAAAATATTGCGGCGGCTTTCCAAACATTCCCTGACGACTGGCCTAAACATCTCGCATCTTTATTATATTCTAGGGTCAGCGCTGAACCCGTAGGGGTATAACCTGAAGGTAAACTGACTTGACATTAAAGGACTACAAAGCTGCTCAAATTCCTTGAATAAAGAACCTTGTCTTCAGTATCAGGGCACTTTTTCCCCCTCCTTTGAAGAGAGACGGACCCAAGGGCTCCCCTTAACCATCTCCGGTAATCTTCAACTTCACTTACATAATTTTTCCTGCACTTATCAAAGTGAACTCAATTTTAGAAACCATCACCTGATATTTTTAGTTCGTGTGCGACGTTTCTGGAATTACAATTCTTTTCTATTTTGCTCTTCAAGGCACATATCTCTAAATTGCAGAAAACAATGAGAAGTATTTCAACTTGAAATCAATTATTCCGACAGAACAAAAGGCAGAAATACTAAAATATAATAACAATGGAATTGCATAAATAAATCCTTGTGATATCCATAGCCATTTGTGAAGAGGAATGCGAAGGAGCGCTGGTCTACCCCCCACGTTGACGGTGAGACCAGTGGGTAGTGGCTCCTCCTTCTTAGCCACCTCCTTCACACTCGCCTGCCCAACCAACACTAACCATCTCCAGATCAAAGGTACCGTCCACAACAACGACCAATGGCTGGCCGGCTGGTGGGCGGAGCTCGGGCGGCCAAAAAGTGGAGGTCCCAGCGAAGCTCCTTGTAGTTTAACACCTGAGTTTGTGGGTGGCGTAGACCAAACAAGGTCCCTCCAAGTGTCGAGTTTGTTTACCCCTCTCTCAAGGTGTAAACCCGACGGGAAGTCCCCGCAACAGCTGTGAGAGAGACTTGTTACCCGTGTGTGTGAGAGAGAGAAAGACTTTCTACTCGTGTGAAAGAGACATTCTACCCGGGTGAAAGGATCGCTACCCGATTGAGTGCGTCGCTGTGTAACCATCATGACAATTAGGCCTATCTTCTCCGGATATCCTTTCCAGGGTAAGCGTCAAGATGTTTATATCTCTCTCAGATGTACCACCACACTAATTATGTGGTAAAGCCTTTGAGATAATTCAAATTATTTAGTCTGTAATAAGTCTGAGATAGTCTAAAATTATATGGTCTGAGATAAGTCTGAAATAGTCCAAATTATTTAGTCTGTAATATGTCAGGAATAGTCCAAAATTATTTAGTCTCAAATAAGTCTGAAATAGTCCAAATTATTTAGTCTGTAATATGTCAGAAATAGTCCAAAATTATTTAGCCTCAAATAAGTCTGAAATAGTCCAAATCATTTAATCTGTAATAAGTCTAAGATAGTACAAAATTATTTAATGTGTACTAAGTCTGAGATAGTCCAAAATTATTTAATCTATAATAAGTCTGAGATAGTCCAAATTATTTAGCCTATAATAAATGTGAGTTAGCCCAAATTACTCTGTTTTTAAAAATGTATGAAATAGTTCAAATTACTGAGGCAGCGATTATATGTATAGACGGATAAAATTATTTAAAACTCAGCTTATGCTTCAGACAACCTAAATTATTTTATCTAAAACTATATTTCAGATAAGATAAGATTTGTTAGGATTTTTAACCAGGGGTAGGGAAGGTTAGCCACTCAGGATAACTCGGGGTAGGGAAGGTTAGCCACTCAGGATAACCCGGGGTAGGGAAGGTTAGCCACTCAGGATAACCCGGGGTAGGGAAGGTTAGCCACTCAGGATAACCCGGGGTAGGGAAGTTAGCCACTAGGATAACCGGGTAGGGAAGGTTAGTCACTAGGATAACCTGGGTAGGAAGGTTTAGTCACTTAGGATAACCGGGTAGGGAAAGTTAGTCACTCAGGATAACCTGGGGTAGGGAAGGTTAGTCACTCAGGATAACCCGGGGTAGGGAAGGTCAGTCACTCAGGATAACCCGGGGTAGGGAAGGTTAGTCACTCAGGATAACCTGGGGTAGGGAAGGTCAGTCACTCAGGATAACTCGGGGTAGGGAAGGTCAGTCACTCAGGATAACTCGGGGTAGGGAAGGTCAGTCACTCAGGATAACCCGGGGTAGGGAAGGTCAGTCACTTAGGATAACCCGGGGTAGGGAAGGTCAGTCACTCAGGATAACCCGGGGTAGGGAAGGTCAGTCACTCAGGATAACTCGGGGTAGGGAAGGTCAGTCACTCAGGATAACCCGGGGTAGGGAAGGTCAGTCACTCAGGATAACTCGGGGTAGGGAAGGGTTTCAGTCACTCAGGATAACTCGGGGTAGGGAAGGTCAGTCACTCAGGATAACCCGGGGTAGGGAAGGTCAGTCACTCAGGATAACCCAGGGTAGGGAAGGTCAGTCACTTAGGATAACCCGGGGTAGGGAAGGTCAGTCACTTAGGATAACCCGGGGTAGGGAAGGTCAGTCACTCAGGATAACCCGGGGTAGGGAAGGTCAGTCACTCAGGATAACCCGGGGTAGGGAAGGTCAGTCACTCAGGATAACCCGGGGTAGGGAAGGTCAGTCACTCAGGATAACCCGGGGTAGGGAAGGTCAGTCACTCAGGATAACCCGGGGTAGGGAAGGTCAGTCACTCAGGATAACACAGTAAAGTCAGTCCGTCATCAAGGACTATGTGGTCTGTCTTGTGGTCCTTTAATCTTTCCCCCCAGGATGCCACCCACACCAGTCGACTAACACCTAGGTACCTACTTACTGCTAGATGAACAGGGACAGCAAGTATAAGAAAACATGTCCAACGTTTCCACCCGTGCCGGGATCAAACCACGGACACTCAGTTTGTGAGGCGAGTGCATCGCCAACTGAGCCACGGGAAAAAAAAATATTTACGCTATATAAAACATATTTAAGATAGTACAAAAGTGTTCGAATTATTTAGACAAAATCATTCAGGAGAGTTAATGCTGAACTAGCACAAATACACTGATTATTGTGATTCGTCCGTGTCCGTGGGACCTAATGCCCGCCACCCTAAACCTTCGTGGTTTATTGTCGCCCTTGTCCGTGTCGTTTAGCGCTAATCACCCGTGGTTTTTACGGTCGTTAATCACCCGAGGTTTGTAAGGTCATTAAATACCCAAGGTCTGCGTAAAGTCGTCAAATACCTGAGGTCTGTAAGGTCGTTAAATATCCGAGATCTCTAAAGTCGTTAAATACCCGAGGTCGGTAAGGTCGTTAAATATCAGAGGTCTCTAAAGTCGTTAAATACCCGAGGTCTGTAAGGTCGTTAAATACTGGAAGTCGGTATGGCCGTTAAATACCCAAGGTCTGAATGGTCGTTAAATACCAAAGGTCTGTATGGTCGTTAAGTACTCGAAGTCTGTAAGGTCGTTAATTAAACGAGGTCTGTACGGTCGTTAATTAAACAAGGTCTGTACAGTCGTTAATTAAATGAGGTCTGTAAGGTCGTTAAATACCCGAGGTCTATGAGGTCGCTAATTAAACGAGGTCTGTTCGGTCTAACATTTAATCACTAGTGGTCTTTAAAGTCTTTAGTCACTTGGGTCTTCATGATGGCCATTCGCTCTTATTCCTGGTTATATTTTTTTCGGTCATAGGTGAGCGTTAAATCCGTAGGGAAGGGTTATACAGCACCTGAGAAATTACTGATAATCAGGTTTGATCCCAGGAAAGAGAAGGAATCTAATTTCTTGCATTAAGAGCCCTTCAGCATCAAGGCACCCGCCATCATGGTCGCTTCCGTCTCACTGAGCGGACGCGAATATTTAGCGCCGGGCTTCCCAGATTATTTACAGTACACAGTCGACTGTTGAACACAACTTGTTACGTGGGATCGCGGTCGTTCGTGTGTGTGTGTGTGTGTGTGTGTGTGTGTGTGTGTGTGTGTGTGTGTGTGTGTACTCACATAGTTGTACTCACCTAGTTGTAGTTGCAGGGGACGAGTCACAGCTCCTGGCCCCGCCTCTTCACTTTGTGTGTGTGTTGCTTACGCGAATCATCCGACATTTTCTACTACTTCCAGTCATCATTACTTATATAAGCTCTTCCTGCTTGGTCACTTACCGTCATGCTGGGTTCTTGCAGTGGGACAAGCCAGGCTCACTACAGCAAAGCCACTAAATTGCGCTTTTGCATGTGTAAGTATAACAATACTGGGCGGTAATACACAGCATTTAGGCGCTCACCCGAGCAGAGTTCCGTGGAAAGGCGCCCCGGACGCACGAATACCTCATTGGCAATTATGGTCGTGATTACGCCTGTCAACAGTCGCGATTACATTAATCATATCATCACCCTAGACCTCATCACTCTAGACCTAGTCAGTGTATGGGAGGGCGGCCAGTGTGTTTTGCAAGTGCGTGAGCAGGAAGCGTCCAGCCCCGAGGTTTCTCTCACTGACAACTCTGTTCCTCCCTGTCCGGCTGTTTTATTTCCCCGCTGGTTCATAATGGTTGCACACTGTATTATCCTTTTGACTTCAGTGATGGTGGGAGCCTAGCTTATGTACGCTAGCTAGCGACCACCTACCTGATTGACAACTGGTATCTAGCACCAGTAAGCCCCAGCGACCACTTAATACACCAACCACCAGTACTATCGGCCACTTAATTACAATTTCCAAATTACAATTCCCAGCACCAGAACGAAAACAACTAATACCAACCACCGCCGCTAACGACCACTTAATTACTGTACCCAACACTAATATGCCAGCGACCACTTAATAATACCAACCAGCGGCGCTAACGACCACTTAATTACTGTACCCAGCTCCAGTACGCCAAAAACCACTTAATCACTAATACCAAACACTGATACGCCAGCGATCGCTTAGCTAATATAGCCAATAACGTGACGCCAGCGAGCGACCAGTCACATACCCAGTATCGATACGACAGCGATCGCTGGAGTACTACACCAAGCACCAGTGACCGATCGCTGATACACATCAGTAGTGTATTCAGTGAATGCTTAACCACCAGCACCCACTATAAGCAGTGAGTGACACCTAGCTAGACAACCAGTCACTGTCTCACTGACGGCGAGAGACCGCTGTCACGAAGCCCAGACAGGAGACGTCTTTACTGACCACCTAAACAACAGCCTCTAAAACCAGAATATATTACTGTATTATTATTAATAATTATATTACTTTATTATTATTTATTATTATTATTATTATTATTATTATTATTATTATTTATTATTATTATCATCACGGGGAATCACTAAACCCACAAGGATCATACAGTTCCAGGGGAATGGGAGGTAGTCAGATTTAATCCAACGTTAGGGAGAGGAGCTCTTAATTCCTTGGATCAAGAGACCATTACCAGTACCAAGCCGCCTCGCTAAGCGTTCTGGTAATTCAATTTTTTTGTAAATTATAAAAAATAAAAAAAAATAAAAAACGAGTTAGTTATTTATCACTGGTAACTAATAATTGTCAGATATTATCAACGATAATTATTCTATATTTCATTGATAATTGTCAAACATTATCATTGATAATAATCAAATATTTTCATTGATAATTGTCAAATATTATCATTGATAATAATCAAATATTTTCATTGATAACTGATAATTGTCAAATATGATCATCGATAATTATCAATGAGAATATGACAATTCTTAATTAAAATTCATAATTGTCATATAATTGATAATTATTAAATAATTAGAAAAAATGCAAAGTTTCAAGTGAGTTTTTTTAAGATTCTTAATAATTGAAGCAACGGTACGTGCAATGTACGTATCTACCAGTACGTACAATGTACGTATCTACCAGTACGTACAATGTACGTATCTACCAGTACGTGCAATGTACGTATCCACCAGTACGTGCAATGTACGTATCTACCAGTACGTGCAATGTACGTATCTACCAGTACGTGCAATGTACGTATCTACCAGTACGTGCAATGTACGTATATACCAGTACGTGCAATGTACGTATCTACCAGTACGTGCAATATACGTATATACCAGTACGTGCAATGTACGTATATACCAGTACGTGCAATGTACGTATCTAC